ATTTGAGAATTAATTTTCAAATAAAAAACAAACACCCTCTTAATAACCAATTAAATACGTTTTTCAAAATTTAGTGGCCAAAATTTGACCACCTCAAATTTTAACAGCATGATGGGGCACCACATGTGCATTCTGTCAACTACGTCATCAGTGCCGTTAGATATTTGAAACAAAATTTAACCGATGAGTAACGTTTAACATTTTTCAATGTTTAATGATTAAAATTCGATATTTTAAACTTTAGTGTGCAATCAAACATAGACATAAGTTCAGTGACCATTGTAACAATTAACTCCTTCAACTCCGGCGGGCAAGCACAGATATATATACACCCACACACACGCATGCATATATATATATACACCGCCGCAGTTTATATTTTGCGAAAGAGTAATTACTAACTATTGAACATAATCACATAATTTGATCTACAAGAAACTCACTGATTCTCCGATTGAATGGCGATAGAGACTCGGCAGGCGGAGGACGCGAAGAACCACCAACAAGGCGGTACCGGCGTTGGCGGGGAAGGTCTTCGGCAGTACTACCAGCAACGCATACAGGATCTTCAGCTCCAAGTCCGCCAGAAAACTCACGATCTACAGCGCCTCGAAGCCCAGCGCAACGACCTCAATGGCCGAGGTCTCTCCTCCATCCCTCCCTCTCCAAGAATTTTACAATTTGATGTTATATGAGGGTATATTCATCGCGTATACGGTTGTAATTGAACACGTAATGTTAATTATACGTTCTGTCTTAAAACCCTAAAAATCGAAACAGGCATTTATTTAGGCTACAATGAATATTTTGAAAAAATAATAATCCATTAATGAAATTATAGGGCTTTTTATTTTATTAGCCTTAATGGGGAGGTTAATATGATTTTTTTCTTTTTCTGGAAGACTATTGATTCACGAAGTAGACTAGTAGGGGCTTTTATGGATACACTCGGTGTTGCTGCAATCATTTCAATTCGAAACCGATGAAGATTGAATTTTGCGTTAACGACTTTGGTTGTGGAATTTGCAGTTTGCAAGCCATCTCATACTGGGATTTTAGTGAACCCAATTTTTTATTGCAAATTCACGATAGTCTATGGAATTTTGAAAATAAGTTTATCCTCTGTCCTTTAGTACTCTTTAGAAAGGTAAAAGGGGTAAAGCTATAGATAATCCAACCCACCCCCACAGAAAAAGGGGAAAATATTTTTTTAATGCACAATAGAACTCCATGTTGTTTGATCATGATCAAATATATATGCACTTGACTCGGATGTACTTTATGAGATCATGTCATCATGGACAGTGAGGTCATTGAAGGAAGAGCTTCAGCTTCTTCAGGAACCTGGATCATATGTTGGTGAAGTTGTCAAAGTTATGGGGAAATCAAAGGTCCTTGTCAAGGTTAGTGGCTGTTTCTGCTGTCAACAAGCATTCGTGTTACCTATTATGTTAACTACGTAATGGTATTTGCATATATACTACGTCCTCTATATTATATGATTTTTGCACTCAATGACAAAATGGGAAAGAATAGGAAAAAGACCATTTCCACTTCATGAATCAGTTGATTACTCTGGCTTGCTTTTTGATTTTTTATTAATCACAAGAAAGTTTGCTGAACTATGTGATTGAAAGTTGAAACAAGTTATTCCAAAACGTTGAACAAATTAATAAAATAATCTTCTCGGATCTGCTTGTTAGCCTAAGCTGTTTAAAAAGAAACCGTAAAAAAGAAAAATCTGTCCGTGAAATTGAAATAGGAGAGTAAAACAAATGCAAGTATGACAAATAATTCTCCGCCCTCCTTTTCTTTCTTTCCCTTTTTTGTTTCAAGGAGAGAGTGACTTATACAAGTGTTAAAAATATCTGCGGTACCCCCATATTTACACTGTGTTAATTAATTTTTTGGGGTGGTGGTATTTTTGACTTATTCATGACTGTGCGTGAAGGACTAGCTACACAGGTTTTTGATTCTCGTTTTGTTACTTTGTTATAGCTTTTGTTCTTTCCCTGTTATCTATAATGGCAATTCCTTTTCTGATGCCTGACAATGCTAGAAATTTGGTGAAAATGAAAGGTACAGAATTTTAGTATTACAGGCAAATAGTACATTCTTGCTGACTTGCTGATATTCATGTGCTATTTCTGCTTCTAGGTCCATCCTGAAGGGAAGTACGTGGTTGATGTTGACAAGAATATCGATATAACTAAGATTACACCCTCAACTAGGGTTGCTTTACGTAATGATAGCTATGTGTTGCACTTGATGTTGCCTAGTAAAGTTGATCCCTTAGTGAACCTTATGAAAGTTGAAAAAGTTCCAGACTCTACCTATGATATGATTGGTGGTCTGGATCAGCAAATTAAAGAGATAAAGGAGGTACGCTTGTTGGATTCTTTATTCAACTTCCTTGTATTGAGGATACTATTCTGTATGGTCATGATTCTTCAATTCACTCTGTTTTTCAACATCCCACTCTCAGAATATTTCTGTATTTTTTACTATTACGTACTTATGGCTTGTTTAGATTAGCTTAAAAGTAGGAAAGAAGTGTTTTACATCGGAAGGATCTTATAAATTATGTGCTTTACATTATAGTATTCTTGCTCATCCATTATTTCCTTCTTTTTTTATCCTTATATTTTAATTGATGTGTTTCCAATAAATTTCGCTTGCTTTGTGTTGTTCTATGACTAGGAAGCTGAATACTTACTTCTTTTTATTAAAATATGCCATCATTTTAGTACCTTTAAGTGTGTAGCTCCTTGATTACTATTTGACACGTTCTTCAACTGTCATTGTGATTTATTCCCTGATGTCTTGTGTTTATAGGTCATTGAACTTCCCATTAAACATCCTGAATTGTTTGAGAGTCTTGGAATAGCTCAACCAAAGGTAATGCCAGCTAGGATTTGGCAATAGTAATTCCTACAACTTTTTGAAGGCCTTATAATATTATTGTTGCTTTGAATTGTGAAAGGGAGTTTTGCTCTATGGGCCTCCTGGTACAGGTAAAACACTGCTTGCGAGAGCAGTTGCTCATCATACTGACTGCACATTTATCCGGGTTTCGGGTTCTGAACTGGTTCAGAAGTACATTGGAGAAGGTTCTAGGATGGTTAGAGAACTCTTCGTGATGGCCAGGTAAATTCCTTCACTCCTTTATGGTGATTAGAGAACTTTATGTTCTTACCATTTGTATGTGCTCTAACAATGTTTTTTTTGTTATGCAGGGAGCATGCTCCATCAATCATTTTCATGGATGAAATTGATAGCATAGGATCTGCTCGCATGGAGTCCGGAAGTGGCAATGGTGATAGTGAGGTTCAGCGAACTATGCTGGAGCTTCTCAATCAACTTGATGGATTTGAAGCATCCAATAAGATCAAAGTATGTTGTGTTTCTTTTAGAATTTATTTATGGTCTTCTGCTATACAGGCACTCTACTTTTTAGTATCACTTCCCAGCACACTAACTCGCCCCGGACACGTGTTTTGGGTGTCTATTTTTTTCTCCTCTTTTTTCAAATTTTGGCAATTGGTGGACATTGTCATGATACTTGGAGGGAAAATGACTTGGAAAATGACAATGCCCTTTTGTAAATTTTAAAAAACAAAATAAGAAAACATAATACAAAAGGAACCAGTTGCAACATCTGGGTAAAAAATTATGCAAAATGGACTATACCAAAAGGATTGAAGAACTCAATAGCCATTAGAAAAGCACATGAAAATTCCCACAATTCAAGTTGGTGCAGCATTTGGGTAATAAATTAAAGCTACTATTGACCTTACTCGGTGAGATGGTGACTGAGATGTGGCTGTTATGAACTCCATGAACTCCATAACATCCTCTGACCTATTTAAGTCAATGTAGGCTCTAGAAAAAGTTTGACACTTCTGGCTATGACAAGGAGATCTGTGTGTTGAGGGAGGAGAAAAAAAAAATTGGGGGAACAGGAGAAATGAAAAATGATGGGAGGGAGACAGAATCTGGAGAAAGATTGTAGAAGAAAAAGAAGTGTTGCCCAATGGGGTACATGACGGGGGATATGCTTTATGTGCTGTTTTCATCATTGCAATGGCTTGTCTAGCCATTTCTAGCTAAATCATAAGTCTACCGTGAACCCACCGTTTTAACTAAATTGAATACCCTTCTTTTTACTGGTGAACAAGTTCTTTGTGCCATTGACAGAATGTCAAATTACGTGTTAATGTGCTTGTGTCTAGTATATTTATGTGATTCATAGGTATTCAGCATCTTTTTTCTATTCAGATAATTATCCTGGTTTGGAATTGTCGAAGTTCAGAAATGAAACCAGAAAATTTTCTGCCTATGATACGACTGGTCTATACAGGTATTGATGGCAACAAATAGAATTGACATTCTGGATCATGCGCTTCTTAGGCCTGGAAGGATCGACAGGAAGATTGAATTCCCCAATCCTAATGGAGAGGTATGGAGGTCTGGCTTACTAATGCGGTTGATAAAATATTGTGAAATTCCCCCCCCCCCCCCCCCCGCCCCCCCCCCC